CCTATTGGGGACAAAAAAGGTCGAAATGCTGGCGAGACTGCCGTGGAAACAATCACGATAAATTTCGATAAATTCGAAAACCGGGATGCAATGTATAAACTCCTAGAATTTACAACCATCTGTCAAAACCGAGGCAAGAAGAAATAGAAAACCCGAATTCCTCCTCATTGTGAAGGTCGTTGAATCCGTAATTAAGAATCTTCCCACAAAGAAAACACCAGGCCCGGACGGCTTCACCCTTTAAGTTCCACCAAACATCCGAGGAAAGAACAAAAGCGCTGAACTCGCACGGAATTCCCCAGCTCTGGGAAGAGGGGACCACGGCAAGCGCAGCCTGCCAAGCTCATGTCCCTCTGATGCCCCGACCCGGCGAGGACAGCCCAGCAAAGGAAATCGTGTTATGCATGTATCTCACACGTAAATATTGACACAGAAATTCTGAACAAAAGATTAGCAAATGCATTTCAGCAGTGCTCGAGAAATAATATACGATGTGAAGGATTGGCGGGCGGGGGAGAGGCTGGGGACCACATAGGTGGCTGGGAAAACAATCCCAGCAAGAGAGGGCCAAGGCCTGAGCTCAGCAGGGCTGGGCTGCAGAGCAAGAACGGCCGCCTTGGGCGGCTCCGGGGGCGGAGCTGGGGGCCCTGCACAGGCTGACAAGGCCTTGGGGTCCAGCCTGCAGGCCTGGTGGACGGGGGTCCCTCTGGGATGAGGGACAGCGTGGCGGCATCTGGGGGCAGACGCCAAGCTCCGGGGACCTGGGGCCTGCGTCCCGGCTCAGGAGGGCGGGCACTGTCGTCCAGGGGGCACGTCTGCCTGGCTCCTGGGGCAGGAGGTGGTGGGGGGAGTGTCAGGTGGGGGCCTCTTCCCACTCGGTGCCCTCTGACAGGGGCCCAGAAACCTGGGACTCCCCCGTGTCCGGCTCTAAGCTGTGAACATTTCCGGCTGAAACAGAGAAGAAAGAAGCCCCCCAGCCCACTGTGCTCCTATCAGCAAAAGCAGTGTGAGTTCAGCTCGCAAAACAAACAGGGCCCAACGTAAACACTGTGGCAGGTCCTGGGGACGAGCTGAGGACCCGGCTCGGGAGGAAGGGCGGGGCGGCCCTGCCATCGGCTCCCCCCGGGGCAGCCCACGCTGCTGGCCCTGAGCCCTGCCTGGGACCCCTGGGAAGCCCTGGGGCTGGTGGGAGTGCGCAAGGCCCGTGTCCTCAGGACTCCGGCGCAGGGACTGTCAGAGTCGTCCACCCCCTGAGGCCGACCTTGCCAGCCCTGCCCCAACCCCAGCCCTCCGCCCCCGGCCTCTTTCCAAAGGCAGAGCCATTATGAAACACCTTCTTGTTTTCTCTGTTCCCCCCTCCCCCACGTGTCTGTGGCCTCCTTGCGACCAGCCCTTCACCTAACTGGCTATGTGGCCTCAGGCGACCGCTTAACCTCTCTGGGCTTCAGTTTTCCCACCTGTAAAAGAGGATTTATTTGGGCAACTAAGAGTCCTTTCCGGAACAACAAAGGTGGTAACGTAAGATGAACGCCGCAGAGCACGTGCGCACAGCAAGGAGCTCAGAGCCTCACTCGACAGCGAAGGGGGCAGGCGGGGAGCAGCCTGAGACGCGCCTGGGGGTGCTGTGGGGGGGTGGGAATGACATCTCTGCTCTCCACACCCCAGAGTGAGGCAAAGCCTGAACGGCCAGCCAGGCACGGCGGGGAAGCTATCCCAGGAGTGGGGGGACAGCCTGCAGGATGGGTGGGCGGCTCCGTTTGAAGCAAAGACAAGCGCTGCCAGGCAGAGTTCTCACAAGGCTGCACCGGGGGGCTGGGGCAAGAAGGGAGTCCATGGGGTCCCTCTCCCCAGGGTGGGCTCCTGACCTGGACAAAAAGGCAGGAGGGGCTCCCTGCTAGGGAAATCGAGGCAAGCCTGAAAAAGCTCCGTGGTAACCCTGCAAGCGGATACTCCAGGCCTCCCTGACCCCTAGAACGACCCCCTCCTGGGAGTGGGGGCCAGGCAGCTGTGCATCCCCAAGGCCTCTTCCCCGCTCCTCTCTGGGCCCCTCGGCCCTGTGGCTGGGCTGAGCTGAGAAAGCAGCTGGGGGCCGCAGCCTTGACTCCCTCCTGGCCCAGAGCCCGCTGGGGGAGGGGGCTGGGGAGGGGAGGGGGCCTCCGGCAGGGCCCCGGGCTCTGGCTGGGCTGGCAGGCTGGCTGGCACTGGCGGTGTCGTGGGCCCGCCGGGCCTCTGCAGCCCAGTGGCTGCTCGACTTCCTGTCCCCCGCTTCCCCAAGTCAGCAGGATTGCGCTTGGCTTGCTCGTGGTCCCGATGGCCGCGTTGATAACTGTGATGGCCGGGGCCCAGGCTGTGCTACCATGCCCTCTGGGCCCGGCGGCCTTTCCCAGGGTCTGTCCCCGAGGGGCATCGGGCAGGGGCAGGGGAGAGGCTGGGCAGGCTGCCACCTGCCCGGCCAGGTCAGCACATCTCGGTCAACCCCTCGATGGGCAGCCTGGTTCCAGCTCAGACCCCTCAGAGGGGCTGAGATTCCACGTGGACCACGGGTGCTGCTCACTGACTCGGGGACCCCAGGACAGGGACTCGGTGAGGGATGAGGACGGCGCAGAGCCAGTGCCGCTAAGCGAGGTGCGTGCAGTCTCCCGGCACCGCGCAGCCCTGGCTCAGAGCCTGGTGGGGCCCTGCGACTCGCCCGCTTTGTTCTCAAACCTTGCCCCCAGGGATCAGGGACTCCGGAAAACGCTTGCTTTGTTGCTCAGATCTGATGGACAGGGCTATAATTCTGCACCCTCAAGGCCAGCGCTGGCCCCACCGCAGCCCACCACACCGACCTTGGTCACCCGCGGGCTGTGTTCTCCTCCTCAGACCCCGGCAGGCCGCTAGATGGCTGCTCCTCAAACCCAGGAAAGGGGGTGCTGCCCTTCAGGGCCCCATGTCCCCCTGTCAGCCACCCACTGTTACCCCAAAGGGCACCAGGTTCCTGGTCTGGGCTTAAAGGGGGTGGCCTGTCTCGTGGAGCAGGAGGCAGAGCCACAGGAAAGGCCTGGAACAGCAGGTGGGGGCAGGGTGGGGCTGGGGCGGGGGACTGGGGGGTGGGAGCTCACGCCCAGCCTGTGCCATCCACGAAAGGCCTACAGGATCCCGCCGGGCCACAAAGGCTGCCTGACCAGGGCTGTTCGCGGGCTGCGTGAGGAGTGGAGGGGGGCCTGGTGCCACCCCCTGGCTCTAGCACGGCTTCCTTTGATGTCTGGAAACTCCTAGCTCTGCCCTCAACACGGGGTACCCGGCCCGCCGCACCGGGTGTGCCCGCGTGCGCACACAGGGAAAGCCGAGCAGACACCCCACTTGCCAGACGGCGGAGACCGGGGCTCCCGGGCCGCTGGGCCTGGCTGGCCTCGCAAGCAGACCTCCCCCAGGGCTCAGCCCCCGCCCTGCCAGATGGGCACACCTTCCACTGGGCCGTCTGCCGGGCAGAGGTCACGCACAGCCCTGCTTGGGCCTGTGCTGACCACGGATAGCCGGGCCCTGCGGCGGGGCTCAGGGTGCTGGGGCCTCACAGCCCCAGCTGGCCAGGCCCCAGCGAGTGTCCCACCCAGTGGGCACCTGAACACCGGCCCTCTGCCTGCCTGCTCCCAGCCACCGGTCTCAGGGCCCCATGTCCACCCCAGGCCGGGGCAGATCGTGCCAGGTGGGGAGAGGGGATGCCTCCGGCCCGGGCCCAGGACGGGGTGGGGCAGGATGGGGCAGGATGGGGAGCCGGCTCGCCCGGAGCGTGGGCCGGGCTGTGCCGAGATGGATGTGGGCCAGAGCCAGGCGTTGCCGGGGAAACCGCACAGCAGACGCACTCCCTGCCCAACCGAAATTCCTCTATTTTTAGCCTCTCAGCTACTTTCAGATAAAGTCCATGTAGACAGCCGAGCTGTTCGGCAAGATAACAGCCCGCTTCAAACCACGGAGGCTTCAAAGGGCAGCGGCGGGCTCAGCCGTGGGCCTGAGAACCCCCTGCCCCCTCAGCCCAGAGTGTCCTGTGGCTCCTGGGCCACCCTGGGTGCTGGGCACAGATCCTGGCAGGGAGCAGGGCACCCTGGTGGCCCATCTGTGCATGCCGAAGCCCCGGCATCTGGATTCGTGGGGTCTTGGGCAGCCAGGGCACAGAGAAGGAGCCACAGACCCTGCACCTCCCACGTGCCCAGTGGGGCCAGGCGGAGACGCTACTGTGACCAGGCAGGACCCTACCACAGGGGGTCACGGAGACGCGGGGGCCGAGGGCGCTGGCCGGGCAAAGCCGAGTCCTCCCCCAGCACACCTGGGCTCAGGACAAGAGAAGACACCTCTTCTCCCACCAGCCCACCCCAGCTGGGCGCTGTGTCTCCCTGTGCCCTCGCCCTGCCCACGCCAAGGCCCCAGACAGCTGGGCCCAGGGCAGGCTGGGACTTGAGGCCGGTTCCCCCAACCCCTGCACTCAGGGCTTGGCCGGGAGCCTCTTGGAGCAAAAGCAGACTGTGCGAGGTTGTGGGACATAGCGGGGTCCCCGTGAAGGCCCCGGCGTGTGCCCAAACCTGAGGTCCTGCTCCCCGCTCGGGGGCAGGGCCAGAGCCTCTGGCATGGGGAAGCCACGGGCAGCAACCCACAGAAGGGCCCTGGCTCCCCAGTGAGCGCCGGCTGGGGGCCGAGGGAGCCACGAGAGGCGGGGACCACGCTGCCCGCCCACTACGGCTCTTGGAAACTGCAGGGAGGAGCTGGTGGGTACTTCCCGCCACTTGTCAGAGAACTAGAAACCAGCCGGCCCCTTCCACGGACACTGATGGCCAGCCGGCTGTGGGGTGGACCGGCGCCCCATCTCGGAGCTGCCGTGGGGCTGCCATGAGCACGGGAAGGAGGGAGGAGGGAGGCCGGTGTGCACGCTCGGGACAGAGCTGGGAGAGTGACGTACTGCTATGACACTCCGCTGGCCCCGAGGACGCTGACCGCCAGAGCTGCGGTGGCCGGACGCTCGAGCCTACCTTGTCTTCCACCCGGTTCAGGCGGGCGCCGATCGTGTTGCTGCCACGGTCCTTGCTCTTTTCTACAGTTAAGGTTAAAGCACTGGCATCAGGGATGTGCAGGGGCGGGGGAGGGACGGGGCAGGCGGTCCTGGCGGGGCTTGTGGCCCAGGGGCCGGGGAGCAGGAGGCAGCTGAGAGGCGAAAGGCCTGCACCTACAGGGACATCTTTTAAAGGGCTCCCGTGGTGAGAACAGCAGGAGGTGGCGCAGTGGCAGGACAGGGCGCCAGCTGTGCCAGCCTGGACCTGGCTCCATCCCTGCCCCACCCTTCATGCTCCGTGACCTCCGAGAACCTGTCCTGTGGCCATGGGTTCACCTTGCCCAGGGGCTGCCTGGGCCGGGGTACCTGCCCGTGTGCAAACCCATGCCCATCCAGGCAGCACTGGCCTGGATCCGGGAGGCAGGGCTGGCGGGGCTAGCATAGGTGGAGGGGTGACTACCTTGCCACGAGCTGCGGCTCCCGTTTGGAACGTGGCTGGGGCAACCCCAAGGAGCGGGCCTTCTGCCGCCCTTCCCCGCGTGACTCACAGCCCTTGCCCAGGGCACAAAGCAAGCTGGCGCAGAGCCCGAGAACTGGCACCCTCACGGCTGCTTCCTCCACCTGAGCCGGCGGAGCCCTGACGACGGCCCTTGGGTTCTGTGGGCAGCTCGCCCCACCAAACCCACCCGCAGGCCCTTCCCTCACCAGCACCCTCCTGAGCAACTGCCCCGGGGCGGCGTTTCCACACCCAACTTCAGTGCCTTGGAAGTTCGCCATTTAAAGGGACCCAGGTGGGTTCTTAGGGAACTGAAAAATCCTTTGTAAAGCACTCCTGGAAGCCACTTTGCTTAGGGTGGGGTCTGCCTCACCGCCCTGCCCCCCTACCCCCATGGCTTTGGAGTCTGACTGTGGGGAGAAGCAGGTGGGGCGAGGGCTGGGAAGAAGAACCCACCTGACGCGGGGATGAACAGCGAGGGCTTCCCGATGGACTGGTCCAGCCTGGGAGAGGAGGAGACAGAGACCAGCTCATGCTTTGCCCTGGCACCGCTCGGACGTCCAGCCATTGGTGATGGTGCGGGGATGTACTGATGTGCCCAGCGAGACAGTGCACCACCACCCACCACTCTGGGGGCACCCACCACTGCCACCCGAGACCTGCCAGGTGCCTCCTGAGCCCCCGCTCCTGAGGGGCCAGGTGGGGAGCTCAGAGAGGAGGGGCGGCAGCTGGGCTGCTCCTTACACTTCCTCAGCAAGGAGGGAGGCACCCTGAGCCCCTGGCCTCACCTCTGCCAGACAGACACAGCCTCCCAGCCACACCCCTGCAACACAGAGCTGGGCTCCCAGGCTAGCTGGTCTGAGCCTGAGCAGCCCCCCGCGGACGGCACTGCTCCCACGGGAACAAGCTCTCCAGGATCCAAGCCAGAGCCCAGAACACGCTGGCTCCCGACTGCCAGGGTCCCCAGCTCCGGGCCTGGGGGTGGGGCCTCTGCCAGGCACATCTCCTCCTGGGCCGGGCCTGGCCTCTTGCTCAGAGTGGTGTGCAGGCGGGGGCTGGGCTGCGCAGCGACCTGAAGTCGTCCGGAACACGGAGCTGGCGCTGGCGCTCCAGCAGGGAGGGAGGCAGGTGTTTTCCTCCCGTGTCCCCCAGAACTTCTCCACCCGCTCAGGTCCGGGAGGGGCAGAAACAGTGGAGATGCCCAGTGGGCTGGCCGTGGCCAGCAGCTCTCCCTCTGTGGAGGGGGGAGGCGCGGGAGGGCTCATGCGGGAGAACTCAGGTCTCCGCCCTGCCAGACTGGAGCAGGCCCTGCCCCCTACGGGGCTAGGGCTGGGCTGGTCGTGCCCCCAAGGTGCCCATGTGCCCCCGTCCCTGGGGCCCGAGCTTGCCCACCTTCTCTGCAGCTCTTTGATGCGCACCATGAGGTTGAGGTGGCCCTGGGAGTACTGCTCAATGACGTCCCGCACGTCGTAAGGCTTCCGCGCTTGCTGTAGGCCAGAAAGACACACGTCACTCCGTTCTCTGAGCTGTGGCATGCCTCTGAACGCACAGTGACGGGGTCTGCCCTAGCGGGGCATGTGAGATCTGGGAGCTCACCTGCACAGGGTGATGGGGCAGGCTGGGCCAGAGTGTGTGTAGGTAGCAGCAGGGCTTGTCCCCACTGGCGTGGCCAGCAGAGGCTGGGTGACCCCGGGCCATTGGCTTGGCCTCTCTAGGCCTCGGCTTCCTGTCCAGTAATCAGCAGGGACCTGCCAGCTCCCCTTCCCAGGCCACCGGTCCCCAGTTCTCAAACAGCTTCAGGAAGAGCTGGCCTCGCAGAGGGGCGGAAGAGCAGCACAGCGCCCAGGCGCTGGCCAGAAGCTCAGCTCTGCGTGGCCGCGCCTGCCCGGGCCCCACTCTGACCCTTGGCAAGCTCGCCGGAGCAGCCCCCACTGTTCTCAGGGTGGGCAGGGGTCTGCCATGCGCCCTTCCTGGCAGTCCCCAGTGCTGGGCAGGGGTGACCCCAAATGACAGCCTCAGCCCAGGGTGGTCCTCATTAGCACTCCAGTAGCTTGCGTCGGCAATGGGCCGGCAGCTCGACTGCTTCTTGCAGGGAGTGTGAGGCCGAGACAGATGCCCGGTGGGGCAGGGCCAGCCCCGGTCAGAGGGAGGCAACTGAGGCGGAGGATGGGAGAGGAATGAAGCTCGGATACCTGCTGAGGGTCACGGCTGCTCTGGGGACGCACGCTCTCTGTCTAGTGAGACCTACTTCTTCTTAGAGTCCCACTCCAGAGACCAGGGCCACCCTAACCTGAGGATGTGGCCCTCTCTACTTTCCCAGGAAGATGGGGAGCCCCCAGGGCAGGACTCTGGGCACCCACTCCCAGCTCTGGACGCATTTCTGATATGCCCAGGGGTTCTGCCACCAATCTGGAGCTTGGCAGAGCTCCCACACCCACCGACGTTGTACTGGCCCCAGCAATCCCAAGGCAGGGCAGAGGCCTCCTCCCCACCGGGGGCTGGCCCCAGAAGTCCAGGGGGTTCCTGCCCCCACATGACACGACACCAGCAGGTAGGGCCCTCGTTGGCAACACCAGCTCAGCTCAGGGCCCTGAGCAGGAGGCCCTGAGGTTGGCGGGGCTGGAATGGGGCCTGCTTCCTCACGACACAGCCGTGCCCCGACAGAAGGAAGGACCTGCTGCTCCTGGGGCCATGCTGGGCACTGGGTCCCCCACCCCGTCCAGTGGCCAACATACCCAGGCCGGCCATGGGGCCGGGCACGGGACAGGACTCTAGGCAGACCCTCTGGACTGCTGTGTGCTCAGCTCAGCAACAGTCGTAAAAACTGCACTTAGGTGCAGACCAGTGATAATGTCCCCAGGTCTTAGTTTGTCCTGTAAAATGGGGATGCTAAGCCTCTCTCTTCTTTTCTGTCAGGTGGGATGCTGAGCCCTGTTCCTCCCTTCTGTAAGACGGGGGGATGCTGAGCCCTGCCTTGCTCTGCCCAACAGGGAGGGAGCGAGGAGAAACAAGATGGAAGGTGAGGAAGGTCAGGGAGTCCTGTCTGCACCATGCCAGCGCCAGAGCCGGCTGCAGCTGAGCCTCCTCTCAACACACGCTCAAGGTGGGCCTGAGTTGTGGGTCATCCCCCTGTGGACTGAAGGGCTTTGGGAGGCGTGTGGCACCTCTAGGCGTGCTCGGCGAGGTGTTGGGCAGGTGAGGGGAGGAGAGGTGAGAGGAACCGCTGGGTCCAGAGCTCGAGGTGATGGAGGCCTGAGCCTGGGTGGGAGCGGGTCCTTGTGCTGACACCCAGACGGCCTGGGCGCCCTTGGGCCACCGTGACCAGGCGAGTGTGCGTACGCGTGCCAGGGGCCCGTGCAGACACACGTGTACGTGAACATGCTGCGTGAGGAGTGCGGGGCGTCCGAGTGTGTGCCGGACGGCAGGGGCACAGCTGGACGGGGCTCGCGGGCTCCCGCTGCACCCTCAGCCCCCGCCTCACCCCACCTGGGGCACAGCCCAGGGAGCGTCGGCAGTGCCCGCCGACACCCAGCACACGGCCCAGAGGCATCCCTGCCCACCGAGGCTTGTCTGGGAGCCACCAAGCTCCCTGTCGGGGCCTGGCCAGGGCTCCTGGGCCCTTTGTCCAGCCGCTGCCGGGCCCTGGCTGGGGAGACCGTCTCGACTTTCTCTCCAGAGCTCATTTCCCCCGCAGCAGCAGGAGCCCGAGATGAGCCGAGATAATGCCGGCCTGTCCAGACTGACCGACGGTGGACAGGGGAGTTCAAGGCAAACTTGAAGGGCTAAGAGGCCCTGGCTCCTCGGGCCAGACACAGGGGCGGCTGGCCAGGGACTTATCGGCCAGCTGAGCAGCCAGGGGGGCCACCCGCCACGTCTGCAGCCCCCGAGGCCCGGCAGGGGCGGGTGGGAGTGGAGGAAGGGAGGGCGGCCTGAGAGCTGGCTGGCGGGGGCGGGTAGCCCCTGGAGCCCCACAGGGCTCCTCACTGCCAAGGGCTCCTCCTCCCCCAGCTTTGCTTTCTGGAGGCTTCCTGCTCCCCACCCCTCTACGCTGCCTGTAATGACAGACAGCTGGGGGGGTTGGAGGGCGCCTAGACCCCATCCTCCCGCAAGAGACTCTGTGCCCACGAGGGCCCCGCTGCCGCCAGGGCCTGGGGCGCAGGGAGCAGCAGAGATTGGGGAGGTGAGTGTTGCCCAGTCTGCTTCCAGAAGCCTCCTGGGCCACTCTCAGACCCGGGCCTGTGTGCTGAGGCAGCAGAGAGGACCCCAGCCTGGAAGGGAGTGCAGGGCTCTCGGCCGGCTCCTCCCAAGGGCCACTTTTCTCGCCTGCACCTTAGTGACAGGACA